ACAGGAGGTGGGAGAAAACTGCATAATTAGGAGCTTCATAATTCGTACTCTTCTCCAAGTAAAATTAGAATGATCAAGTCAAGGAGGATGAGGTGGGCAGGGCATGTAGCACGAATGGAGGAGACGAGGAATGCATATAGGATATTGGAGGGAAAGCCAGAAGGAAAGAGACCACTGGGAAGACCAAGGCATAGGTGGGTGGACAATATTAAAATGGATCTTAGAGAGATAGGATGGGATGTTATGGATTGGGACCAGTGGAGGGCTCTTGTGAACACGGTAATGAACCTTTGAGTTCCATAAAATGCTAGGAAATTCTGGAGTAGCTGCAGAATTGGCGGCTCCTCCAGAAGGGCTCAGCTCCATGAGTAAATAAGTAAGTAATACCTTTGTCTGGTGTTATAGAGAAGGAGTGGTGGGGTCCCATGCTGATGCTGTGCTTTACCATGTCTGACTTCTCCAGACTACATGTCATTATATCCCAGGTGACAGCTAGAACTCTTCACAGTCACTTTTGTGAATACTTCAAATCCAGTTTGAACATAAGTTTGCAAACAAATTTTCAGGCTTCCCTCTTCCTCTGGAAAAAAAATCGTGCCAGCACCCACAATGATGTACAAAGGCTTCTTGTATGATACAAAGTAAATTTAAAATGAATTGTAAACCCAGATGAAATACATGCAGGTTAACTGACTGCATAGCCATACTCTTAAGATAGGAATACCATTAGAAAACACTAAAGATATGCCTGTCACCTAAAACCTTTTTTTTTTTGTTAGAGTCATTGTACCAATAGTTAAGAGCTGAACTGGTGTACTGATATCAAAAGGCATTGTTCTGAGTCTGCAAGATTAATTGTAAGATTGCCATTTAAGCAAGCAGCAAGCACTCACTATCCTTCTGTCTTACTATGAAGCTTAATACTATACACATTAAACTCTATTCTTGGTAGTATATATTAACCGTGAGACATATATGAACAGCAGAAATAATGAATACTACATATAATTCAGTATTCCATACTTTGCTTCTTTGAAATTCATTTGTAAATGGATTTCAAATGTAATTAAGAGCCACGATAGTTGTCGGTATAGTGATAAGCTACAGGATGGCTAAGGAATTGTGGGTTTGACTCCTGGCAGGGGGAAAGAGATTCTTCTCTTCTCCATAGCATTCAGACCAACTCTGAGGCAATACAGCCTCCAATCTAATAGATACCTGGGTTTCTTTCCCCTTGGGTAAAGTGGCTGGGCCATGAAGTTGACAACTCACCTCCATCTAGTGCCTAGATGAAGATTACACGGATCTGTACCTCCACTCCTTCATATGACTTCATGGTTCCCTTTTCTTTCAAATTTAATTTTGGGAAAAAATTTGTGTTGTAGAAAACTGCCAACACACCTGTTGAAGATGAAAATATTGGTTGCAACAGTCAACACGCTTAGTACTGAGCTTTTGCATAAATTTGATTTTTTTTTTGTATTTCCTAAAGGGTGTAGAAGTGTCATTCGGGTAAATGGATTTGTACAATATAGTTCTGTCATACTTTGCTGCCTGCTGGTTGGGTCTTCCACAGTTCACTTATCTTTGTCATTGTCAGCTCCAAATGTAGGATATTTTAACAATTAATTTAAGTTGCAAGTTTCAAATTCATGTGTGGACAGTGAAATGATACAAGTACTATAAAATTCTGATTATATTCACATATCTCTTTACATCAGCACTGTGGTCTTCTGGGGGCACACAGTAGCATAGTTGGTTGAGGCACTAATGCTACAAGCCGGAAGGTTGCAGGTTCAAGTCCCTATGAGGTGGATTTTTTTTCAATTGACCTAATCCTTCCAACTGCACTATGGCCCTGGGGTCAACACAGCCTCTAACAGAAATGATTACGATAAATCTTATTAGGGGGTAAAGGGTGGCCAACATGTAAGGATGATAACCTTACAGTCATCTGTGAGCTGTCTAGAAAAATTGTGGGAGCCTCAATGTCTCACAACCCTATGGGCCCTCATGGCCTTTTACAGGGGTAGCTTTACCTTTTTACTGTGGTCTTCCTGAATTTCTTTTACCAGTCAGATTATATTAAGAAAAATTTTTGGGATTCACCTGTCTTCGACATTTTGTGTATTATGTTGATATATTGACAGCCCCATATATTAAAAGTGAAGAGCCTCTTTGGCATCATGCATGTGTGCTTAACCCAACCCAACATTCAGAATTAATGGGTTTTTGGACTTTGTCTATGGTCTGGTATTCTAAAAACTAGAGAACACAGCTTCATCAGAACGCTTTAGAATCTACCAACCCAACATGTCATTCTGCTTTGCAATGTTTCAGGAGTAAGTTTATACAAACAGTCCATGCATCTAATGTATTTTCCTTTGTAAACAGCTGTTCTATCATTTGTAACACTATGTGTCTTAACCAACCAAGCAGAAATGATGTTCTTCTTGTTCCATTTTTTGGCATCACATCTGTAACAGTAAGAACTGTTCCCAAAACTGATAGTATATGTGGGGGAAACAAAATGTGTGTATGTGGGGGGGGGTTATGCAATCCTTATAATTACAATTACCTCACAGTGTTCAGTGGCAGACTGTAATTTGTAATAGTCTTTGTTCATGTTTTTATAAAGCAGTTTTATAAATGCACCTCACAAGTGAAGAGGTAATATTTGTTGCCAGTGAATATGATGTTATAGTGTTCAGTGGCAGATTCCCCTCCAACATATGTTTCTTTTCATTTCCGTATTCAGTAATTTCAGTAAAGCGCTGACCCTAAATCAGTATGGCAGAACCTTCAAACTGCACACACTTCGTAGTTAATTTGGCAGGTCCACAGGATAATGCTAAAGAACAATATGCTGATATTGACTAAGAAGAAGAGACCAAAGATATTCTTCTTCAAGATCCATCAACTTCTGAAGAGAATTATGAAGATTTAGAATGGTGCCATAAACATCACCCCTGATGACAGATGTGCACCATATTGCGGAAGAACAAAATTTGATAAACAAAACCACGGCTCCCAATATGTATGAAAATTCATAACCCCTTTGATTTTTTTCTGCTATACAGTGGAACCTCGCTTAACGAGCAAAACAAATTGTAAAAAAATGACTCGCTTAACAAGCGACGTTTTGCATAACAAGTGATGAGAGGGGAAGTCCTGGATTGTGCGCTGGCTACATCAGTCTGTGTTTAGCACTCGTTCCGCTAGCATCTTAGTGTCGCTTGTGATCACACATTTTTCCAAACTTGTGTTCAGACATATTATTTGTGATTTTTTTTTGTGCAAAGTTTAATAACCCTTACAAATGTCCCCAAAGAAAAAGCCGCAAAAAGACAGCCATAAGAGAATAAAATAACTGTAGAAATGAAACGTAAAATCATTGAAAAGTGAGAACGAGGTGTGAGCGTGGCTGATCTAGCACGCACATACAATCGGTCTATATCAACGATTTGCACTATCCTCATGAACAAGGACAAGATTAAGGAGACAGATGCTTCAAAGGGAGTGACAAGAATATCTACGCAACAGTTACGTATTCTCAACGATGTTGAAAGGTTGCTCCTCATATGGATAAGCGAAAAGCAACTGAAAGGCAACAGACACTATTAAGGAGAACATCATTTGTGAGAAGGCGAAAGTGATTTTTGCTGACCTTGTTAAGAAGACGCTAGGATCATCAACGGCCGAAGAAGCATTTAAGGGAAGCCGTGGGTGGTTTGAGAAGTTTAAGAGAAGAACCGGCATCAACAACGTTGTAAGGCATGGTGAAGGAGCAAGCTCTGACACAAAGCCAGCAGAGAACTTCATTGGTGACTTCAAGAGTCTGTCAGAGGAGGAGGAGGAGGAGGAGGAGGTAACAGCAAAGCAACAATCTTCTGGCGCAATAAGAGAAATCATGAAAGCATGGGCAACTGTTGCATTATATATTGAAAAACATCACCCTAATAAGGCAGTGGCCATGCGTGCTACAAATTTATTTCATGATAATGCTGTGTCGCATTTTCACCAAATTTTGAAGCATCGGCAAAAACAGATGTCTCTAGACAGCTTTCTAGTAAAAAAGAATTAGATATGTATAATAAATAATAGACTAATTACTTCGATTTTGTTTTCTGCAAATCGAATTCACATTCCAGGTTGGTTCATTCCACATAGAAGAAAAGATGAAGATGATTCATGCTCCTTAACAAGGTATATATAATTTTCTTTGAATAAACGTTATACATAAAATTTTTTGAGGATTTTTTTCGGCATGGAACACGTTATCGTATTTTACATTAATTTATATGGGAAAAATTGTTTCGCATTACGAATAAGATTCTGGAACGAATTATGCTCGTTAAGTGAGGTTCCACTGTATTTTCAAACTATTCTACTGCTTATTTGTACAAGAGATCAAACACTATATGCAGCAAAATGTCCAAGAAAAAAATAAACTAGACATTCCAGATTCCCACTAAATAAGTATGAAACACCCATATGCAATTTCTTGCATTTACAGCTTCAGATGGGTCACCACAAGCCTATTATAAAAATATATTTGACCAAAGATGAACTTTAGGATGTTCATTTTTATTACACTGCAATGATACATGATTGTTTTCTCATTATTCTGAAATATTATCATTTTTTTTACAATCAAAACCCACCACTACAAAACAGAGAAGACTCTGATCAAAACAGATTATAGAAAATCTGATAAATATTTGAAGACTTTTATTTAAAGTTTTGAGAAGTGTAAAACAAAACTGTGGCACTGGATGAATAATAAAATTCAAAGTGGTAGTTGTCTTTCAGCAATACATGGGGGGGGGGCAGATATATGGTAAAAAAATTTATAAACTTTGTGAGAGATCTTATGACACAACATGAATGTGTATCCTAGGAAGCAGAGGAACCAGGCATACAAGTAAGTTACAACTAGAAATGGAATTGTACTGGAACTGGTTCTTTACAAACATGGAAATGATATTATGTGAATCATGTATTATTTCAAACACCACATCAATAGTTTATTACGTTTCAACTTAAATTTTAATAAACAGAACATCTTCTTTTACTTAAAAGTAACAGGCAAAACATTATTCGCTGTTTTGTTAAAACACAGTAATAAGGCATGATAATGCATGCATTATACATTTCATACGAATAGAACTGTTTAGGAACACAGCTGAACAGTATATGCAGGCCATCTTTCAAGCAACGTATTATAGTAAAGACTGATGAACACATCAATCTAATACTGTTTACCACTTTATGATTCCCTTTCTATGTTACAAAACTAATGGCAAGAAAAAGTACATTTTAAAAGTAAAATAGCTGCACTGAATTGAGCTACATCAATAACAATTTCTACTATTCCATCAAGCATGACAATGTTCTTCTAGTTTCAGATCATGGAAGAAAGAAACAAAGAAATCCTTCAATGTATTTCAATGGTTAACAAGACACACAAGCTTCATATAGAGATACACATCATATGCTCTGCAAATGATTTGGGACTGCAAATGTACACTGCTGGTATATCCTCCTCCATACAAACTACTGCATAGTATTAATAATTTATATTTGAGGGACAGATGATGCAAGCATTTTCAAGTCCATACAATCACCACAAAAGATGTGACCTATACACACATACATAACAAAATTAATTTTCAACTTTGTCATTAGAAGATAAGCAAATGATCATACAAAATATCCATTCAGAGCCCAAAATAATCCCGTAATATAACTTAAAAAAGAAAGTACGGTAAATTCTTTGTATGCACCATCATAAAGATTTTATCTTGAAATTCATAATGTCACTTTAAGTTTCCAAAACAAAATAAATACTATAGGTCTCTACAGTATCGGGCAGTACTAAACACAGAATGTTCTCATGAAACTACTCACACTATTTATCCAAATGCATTTCCAGCAGCTCTGTTACTGCATTTTTGTAATAAAAAACAGTAATTCGAAAATTAAATACTAACTGGGAAAATAATTTATATTTCAAAATGGTAAAAACAATACTTTAATTAATTAATTATTTAATTTTACACTTTATGACTATATTAGGCAATACAAATAATGTAGTACTTCAATGTAAAAACAAAAATAATCTCCTTCAAGTAGTCAGTCATATAATACACAAACATTAGTACTTCAATATAAAAAATACATGTGCACTCATTCATTTATGTTAGGAAGAACAGAGTATGCGTATATGAATATAGCCTTAACCAAACACATCTCATAACTGTGAGGAGTGAAAATAATGGGGGAGGGGTTATAATGTTTGAAGGTTAAGAGGATCGCTTCAAACTTAGTTTAGCAAATAACAGAGGATCACCAGAATTAGACTCACATCTCATAATTGTGAGGAGTGAAAATAAAGGGGGATGGGTTATAATGTTTGAAGGTTAAGAGGGTTACTTCAAACTTAGTTTAGCAAATAACAGAGGATCACCAGAATTAGATTCTTGGAATAAGTTCAGTCTTATATACCGTCAGAACACAGTTCTATACACTTAATCAGATTCAATGGGGATTTCAATTTTGACAGGCTCATCACTTGCAGGGCTCGAGTGTGGTTGGTCAATGGAAGGTTCAGGTATTACTGGCAATGTAAGAGTTTGCCTAGCAAAGTTCTGTTGCTCTCCATCCATGAATGGTCCCACAGATTCCTGTGGTTTACGCAACTTTGAGAGTCTTTTATTCTCACTAGGTGGGGCATGGAAGAACACATTCCTCAGAGAAGAAGTTGATGTGGATTTGCTACATCCACTGATGGTACCAGATGTTCCATGTAATTTGTCCTTGTTGACAATTTCTGCTGAAGTGTCAGGCTTCGAAGCAACATGGTAGCAGGCAGTAAATGTGGCAGTTGAAGTAGTGATGGCAGGAATAGCAGCTGTTGCAACAGCAGAGGTAGCTGCAGCAGTGTTCGCAGAAGTAACAGCAGAAGCAACAGTAACATCAACGTTGTTGTCGTCGTCATCATCATCATCATCATCATCATCATTTGCATCATTATTTTCATCATCATCTCTATCCACCACAACACATTCATCTGCTGCCTTTGAATCCACAGTTTCTCCATTGCTTTTTAACTCTTGCCATATGGCTGTTACTCTCTTCACGTCCCCAAAGTCTCCCGCATGTTCCTCTCCCGGTAGTTCGCGACGACATCTTGCCTCTGTACTCCACCATCTGGAATGCCCACTAGCACTGCCATCTTTATCACACTGACTGCTGTGTGATGCTTCATAAGAGTGAGGAGCAATGAAACTTACATGATCATCAAACCGTACCCTCTCTGAGCCACCATCTTCACCACCAGCAGTCCAACTATTACTTTCACTACCCTGAAAAAGATAGAAAACAGCTTTTAATATGAAAAATTTACAATAAATTACTTAATTTATTATTAGAGTATTACAGGTGCATAATGGTCAAAGTGCCATGTTCCTAAAGTGAATACTGCATGATGTTCAACACCTAAATATCCAATTAGAAATCTACACTATACTATACTATACTATACTGAGTTCATAATTTAGTACACAGTTTTGTTGAAACATAAATATACATGTATTATTCACTTACGAAACTAAATATCATAAATAACGTGGAAATGACTTCCTGAAATAATACAAAAGTTGGAAAATCATTTATTATTCAAAGTGGGTCAAAGGTTTTACATGTGTACTGCACACTTCCTGTAAATAATTTATGCTGATTAGTGTATACAATAATTATTTTCTTATAAGCTCATCTCTGTGTTATAAAGGACACATTCTTCTGGTTACTAAATAGAAATATTCTTGCTACAGTCAACTTCACTCAAAGTTCGATACTTAATGTATTTCAAGATTTTAAAATGTCAGTTTGAGAATTCTAACTTCATGTTTTGCTCTTCTTAATAAACTGCATGGTTAGGTTTAGTTACACTGCCAGCCTCCTTGCAGGTGTCATCTCTGAAAACATACCTGCTCAATTCAAGGAATTCCAAAATGTTAAACACTAATTCTGGGACAGATAAGACCAACACATGCAAGGTTATGGATTGTAAAGTGGAAGAGCTATAAAGTGTAAGTCATCCTTTTTAGAGTAGGTACAAGAAAGCAGCAGTTCTTCAAAGGCACTTCAGTACATATTACCTGTCGATCCAGAGGTGGTCTCCTTCGTGTACGTCGCATCATTCCTGATGTAAGTTCCTCCAATGAACTGAGAGATGCTGGCCCAGCCACGTCATCACTGCGTTGGCTTGCTGAATCTGTGTGTACTTCAACTGGTGTGCATGCATCAGCACTTGTTCCACGGAAGCCAGACAAGGAACTAGAATCCATTCTAAAGTTCAAAACTGATCCAGCAAGCGCACGTGTTGATGCTGCCCCATCATCGGCTATTGAAGCTGACACAGACTTCTCAGACAAACTGGTGGCTGCTGAAGCAGTTTCACTGCTCATGCTGAATCTTTGTGCAGAGGCTACATCAGCTTGCACTTCTAGCCTTTGATACACATAAAAAGAAAGAATGATAAGAACAGACTGGCTGACAAAAATTACTAACGTACTAACCTCAAAACAACCACCTATTTTTTCATAATCATTAAATTAAGTTTAAAAGCTTGAAGTAATTTGAAATCCATCACACCATAAATCTGTCCTGAAAAATATGAACAGATGAACCTGTCTCAAAGATAACATTTTTATTTTTCAGAGAAATTCTCAAGTGTGTGTGCCTCTTTCCTTCCAGAACTACTTTGCAAGGCCCATCCCAACACAGCTATATTTTCACAGGGAATTGTACAGATCACTTTCTGAATGACAGGAAAGGGGGCTGAAGTATCTCAGTAATATGACTGTGACAGATTACAACAATAATGTTTATATCAACTCAGAGCATCACTATTCACAAGGCTACTTAAAGATACTGCTTAAAAATTATATGGGGGGTAAGGGGGTCGTGTCAAGAAGTACTTCTCTAATTCGACTGGAAGGGGTCAATTAAATGTATTATATAGAACCACACATCAACAAACAAACAAAAAACTCCATGGCTTTTGTCTACAAGCGATCTATACCAACCGAGCGACCGCCGCTTCTTGGCGAAGTTACTGCCAACTTTAGCGGACAGAGGGTGTCGCGTGGTCAGCGCAACAAATCACCATGCCTGTTAATTTCGGTTTTCTATACCGGAGCCGCTACTTTTCTATTCAAGTAGCTCCTCAATTATCCTCACGAGGCTCATTGGACCCCATTCCAGACATCACACATGAATTTTGATAATACATATTTGAAAGTTACCACAGTTTTCAAATTTGTTATGCAATTGAAACTGAGAAGTGTTAACCCTTTCTGAATTTACATCATCATGTAAGATGTGCGCTGATCGACAATGAGATAAAAGCCATGTAAAATATAAAAGGATTAATAATATATTGTTCAGAATTCAATAACAACTTGTAATACATTACGAATATGAAACAAGCACTTCTCTTTTGGTCAAGGGAATACTCATCAGATAAGACAATGCAATACGGATCAGCAGGAATGTTTATTCACATTTGTAAGAGTTCAGTAAATTTTCTGGCCAATAAAGATATATACATGTATATCTGGGACTGGAATTACTGCATACATTAATAATAGCCCAATCATTTACACTGACCTCTGTCCTCCTGGCAGTAAACTTGATGCAATGCTCCCAGCTATACTTGCTCCGGCAAGAGCAACATTGCTTGCTGATTCCCTATCATTCTCTCGTCCAAGTCTCTCCAATTGGCTACCACTGCCTAATGATAGGGAAACCTCTCCAATGGATGGGTTTCCTCCTCGATGACTCACAGCATCCATGGATACTGCATCTAAGTAAAAGAATTATTTTATAATATCCCTCCATATTATGTGGAGTACTGACATGACTAAGTTTACTGGTAGAGGCATACCTTCTTACTCAACAAAAAATAAGTACTGCGAATATTTTCTTTCCTGATTACAAAGGTCTTATTAACAGAAGGCTTGCATATACAATCAATTTCCAACCTTCAAGTTGTACCTTCATTATCAAGATTCAACATACACGTATTCCTGACCAAATGGTACAAGGGTATAGGTGGCCACAGCAAGGAGCTAAACATCTGCCTATGGAATAATTCAGAAAGTTGTCTTGGAAAATCCGTCTTAAGTGCAACAATTTTATTGTAGTCCTTTCTTCTTNTTCTTGTAAAACACAATATATATGAGACAAAATCCGTCTTAAGTGCAACAATTTTATTGTAGTCCTTTCTTCTTCCCTTCCTCCACACTACATGTTTCGGCCCTAAATGGCCATCATCAGGTGTGTATTCTTACGTAGCTGCTACACTGCCCATAGTTTAAAATTTAAAATCACCAGTCTTTCCAATTGTATGTACGTATAAAATCTTTGTTAACCTACACGCGTCAATCTGATTTCTAAAATTTGCACTTTTTTTTAAACTTAAATTCAAAATAAAATGTCTATAAATCTTCTTTTCTTTTTCGAAATGTTTAAAAATTAAAATTTTCTCGGGGTACACGCCCTATGTCTATAGTGCTGCAGCGGCTACTTTTTGTTTTATCGCTGTTCAGGTATTGTTCTGTGTAGGCTCTCTCTGTGTGTGTCGCTGCTTATCTTTAATATAATAATAATAATAATAATAATANTTATGGTATTAAACTCGTAAGGACAATAAAAAGAAATTAAGGTGCATATAAAAATAAATGGGAGCATAAATCCTCAATTGAAATGATAACTTCTAATGAATTTATTTCAACATATAAGACTAACAAATCTTACCAGTATTTCTGGCACCAAGAACTCCTAACAGATCACTTTCATCATCAAAATCAAATCGAACTCCTGAACCTGAAGTAATGACTCCACAACCACCTGACCGACAAAGAGATACTGGTACAACTCCATAGACAAAAAAGAGGAGAATAGGGACACCCATGGCTACAGCCAAACCAGCAAGTACCGGTGAAACAAGTACCTGCAACAAAACATTAATGTCAGATTGGTTCCATAAGGATAAGCTGGTGGGACGGGAAGGAGGTAATATAGTATTTATAATAATGTTACATCACATCTTCCTTTAAATATCCAAACACTTATCCGTTAATGTACACAATGCTGGAAACTTGTTCGTTTACGTTCTCTGTTTGAAGCATGCTGATCTTTGCACATTTTCAAATCAAATGTCATACATTAAATCATATATTAGGCTGAATATATCACTGAGGTACAACAGGAAAGTATAAAAAAATAGGGAAATCAACATTTTGTATAAATATAATAAAAACAAGACTGTATATGTGAACCTAAGGGGCTCAAGATTTGAGGACTGGTTATCCAGAAGTAAGAGACATTTATTCTTTTTAAGATTAAACATAACATATATTCATTGCTTCCAACAAGAGGGGGGGGGGACGTGGTAGCGTAGTTGGTTGAGGCACTATGCTACAAGCTGGAAGGTCACGGATTCGAGTCCCGATGAGGCAGGTTTTTTCAATTTACCTAATCCTTCCAGCCGCACTCTAGCTCAGCCTCTAACAATAAAGAGTACCAGGAATCTTCCTTGGGGGTTAAGGGCGGCCAGCGTGTAGGGCTGACAACCTTACCGCCATCTGTGAGCCGAATGTCTAGAGAAAATGTGGCAGCCTCTACGTCTTACAATCCCATGGGTCTTCATGGCCTGTTACCTCCTCAAAGAGATCTTTAAAACAGCTCCAAATTTCCCAACTTCACAAACGACCTTCAACCCAAGAAATCTTGTACTTTCAAACAGTAAGTAAGGAATATTTATTATCCACTGCATTCATGGAATTGCACAGCCAGCAACATGAATTATGAGAATATATAAAATATTATGTGATAAATTTATGTACATACAATGACTCTCTCTCTCTCTCTCTCTCCCCCCCCCCACAAGAATTGTAACTACATGTCATTTTGTTCCAAAGATACTGACTATCAAAGAGTCAGTATATTTTTTTGAACCCCTCTGTATGTAGGTGGGTTAGGGGTCTGTATGTCAACTAAAATATTTTATTTTAAGGGGATATCCTGCTACAGTGTAGAAATTGGGCGTGTATGTTGTGTAGGTCTTGTTACCGAAATTCTACGTAATAAGTCCGGTATGTGAGGCCCAAAGATGTACAGGTTTGGTGGTATGTGGGTATTTGGTATGGCATTCCCACGCTATGTATCGTGTACGAAACACGCAATGTGGCGTATGTTTCTTGTCTGGGCGTACACACGTTCGGTGTCTACGCCCAGACATACCCTTATTTATTTTTTATTTTTTAATCATGCATTTGCTATTTTAACTATATACCAATCTGAGGCAAAGTTTTTATGATAATATTTAATACGACGCGTTGCACCTATAAGGATCCGTATCGCTACTTCAATAACTATACGTATTTCTGCCTGATGATGGTCATGTATGACCGAAACATATTGCAGTAATAAATATCTATATATAATAACTGAAATATTTGTTGTGTTGACGGTAGCATAGTTCCTACATATTATATAAAGCAATCCTTGTAGCAGGTCGTGAAGTCCCATACGTCTGTGGGACGTCGGGGCTTCCAGATCACCTAGACAATCGGATCANCTTCAATAACTATACGTATTTCTGTCTGATGATGGTCATGTATGACCGAAACATATTGCAGTAATAAATATCTATATATAATAACTGAAATATTTGTTGTGTTGACGGTAGCATAGTTCCTACATATTATATAAAGCAATCCTTGTAGCAGGTCGTGAAGTCCCATACGTCTGTGGGACGTCGGGGCTTCCAGATCACCTAGACAATCGGATCACAGATGGCACTGCCCGCCATTTACCTAACAGGTAAATTCCTGGTACTCATTTCTGTTACAGGCTGAGTCGACTCTAAGGTCATATTGCGACTGAAAGGTTTAGGTAAATTGAAAAAATCCAATGACCTCATCGGGACTCGAATCAGCGACCTTCCGGCTTGTAGCATACTGCCTCAAACAACTACGCTACAGCGTGCAACTAAGTTGCATTTAAGATGGCAAAATAAAATTGAAATTAATTCCACATTTCTGAGGTTTCTGATTTCGGTAAACAGAAGTTACTAGGGAAGTTAAATTAATTCAAGAATTTAGGCCGTATTCCCATGTTAGGTGGGACCCTTGTCACCACGGCATGGCGCGTCCTCAGCTTGCGGATGGAGGAGACGCCCTCCAGTTTTGGAGGGAATTTTATCCAATATTCTTCTCTCACGGTTATGTCAATATACAGTTGAAATTAATGGGGACCGTCAGTGTGGGTTTCGACGTAAAGGATCAACTATTGATCAGATTCTTTTGCATTCGTCAAATAATTCATTCATTCATTCATTCATTCGTATTCCTGTTGCTCCCTCTGGAGCGTAGGTCATCCGTGAAGGGGATCGTTTCACTTGCTTCTTAATCTTATAGACAGTCGGCAGGACTCCTTAGACGGCGGATCAGCCCGTCGCAAGGCCGCTACCTTGCACAGGACAACGCAAACACAGAATAAATGTGCATAAACATCCTTTCCTCGAGTGGTATTCGAACCCATGACCCCAGTGTTCGTGCGGGCGAAGACAATTCATGCCTTAGACCGCGCGGCCACTGTGATTGTCACGCATTCATCAGATTCTGGATATAACAAATAAAAGTATGACGAGACAGTACATTCAGTCCAGAACTTTTCTGTCTTCTCGTCTGCTGTCTAAAAACATTAAAATTAGATTTGTTTTAGATTCTTGGGATGGGGTAAGACTGAGCCCACTTGGTACGTCGTCCACTAATTGGCCTATAGCATCAGCTGCAGTCGGTGGAATGAGAATTAGCAGGGGAAACCGAAGTACTCGGAGAAACCCTGTCCAGTGCCAATTTGTCCACCACAAATCCCACATGACCTGACCTGGGCTCGAACCCGGGCCGCCGCGGTGGGAAGCCGGCGCCTAACCGACTTAGCTATGGCACGGACCGAAATTACAATATACAAAACTATAATTTTGTCTGTGGTTATGTATGGGTGTCAAACTTAGTATCTGACATTGAGGGAGAAACATAGACTGACGGTGTTTGGGAATAGGGTGCTGAGGAGAATATCTGGACTGAAGAGTGACGGGAGGTGGACAGAACTGCATAATGAGGAGTTTCAGAACTTGTATTCTTCTCCGAGTATAATTAGTATGATTATGTCATGGAAGACGAGATGGGCAGGGCATGTAGCATTTAATGGGGAGAAGCGTAATACATGTAGAATATTGGTGGGAAAACCACACGGAAAGAGACCACCAACGAGACCAAGACGTAGGTGGGTGGATAATATTAAAATGGATCCCAAAGAGATAAGATGGGGTGGTATGGCCTAGATTGATCTGGCACAGGATAGGGACCAGTGAAGGGCTCTTGTGAACACAGTAATGAACCTTCGAGTTCCATAACTTGCCGGGAAATTCTCGAGCAGCTATAGAATTGGCGGCTTCTGAAGGACTCAGCTCCATGAAGTTACTTCGTTATTTCAATGTCGATAACGTATCGTCAGGACAAATCAAGGCCTGCCAACTCAGTCCATTAAATCTTGGGGGTTGGGATCTTGGATTAAAGTTACATCATTTGTAAAATCAAATGGGTACAGAAATTATAAGAGTTCCTCAGAGGATCCCACCCAATTCAATATTGCTATTTATACGTAATTCTGTTCCTAGATCTCAGTTTACAAAAAAACTGCTTTGACATTTCTGTGTGTCGTCTGAGATCAAGGGGTGGAATCAGGGATTTTCATGTTGTCGAAAATCCCCGTAACTAATACGCTAGATCCATTTCTAAATCGTGATACTGTATTCTGTAATCATAATTTGAGCTTAAATTCAATTGGCAGGGTGAATCGTAACTGAAATGCCCAATACGAAGCATAACAACCAGCTGCACATGGACGGAAGGTCAGGATCGGGCAAGGGTCGAGCAGCTATTGATTGGAACTCATCGGCAGGATGGGAGTTGGTTGGACCGGCGCGCCACAGCGCGGTGGCATGACAGCGGGTATGTCCTACCACTTTCACTGCAGAACTCAGTAACCGTCAGTAACAGTCCGGTAGCCGTCGGCGGAAGCACAGCTACAGCTTTCATTAACTCGAACAAAAGCTAATATCTATCGATACTGATAAATACGAACGACTGTAATATTCCTTTAGTCACGCAAACGCTTCATCCATTTCCTACCAATCAGACAATTTGACTATCAATGGCAACTACTGCCTGCCAATTAAATACAGCCGCTTATTTTGTTTGCTTTAACTGCTGACATCAAACTAATTTGTTTTAGAGGTCGGCAACATTTAATTATCACGGGAAAAATATTAACTTTTATTTTTATTTCTCTCTTTAAAATCGTATTTGGCAGAACATAATGTTCATTGCAATAAAATAAATAATTCGCTTATCGTTAATGCACATTTCAGTACTTACATACTGACTACACGAGGCATTTAAACAGTCATACTAAACCAACACTGCATGTCTTAGTATTTATGTAAAATAAATTTGGTGAATAGTGTTCTATGAAGAAAAGCTTGTTGCACCATAATGTACTATTTAAAAACCATCCATCAGGCTAACTAATCGGCCGAAGCACGAGGTTTCGAAAGATGTCGGACAGCGAGGAGGACAGTTACGATTGGGAGACCCCAGTGACGAGCGAGTGGTTGGAGGCGATATTAGCATCATATCACCAGCAAGAGCTCCATCACAGTAGTGGAGGCTGCAGCGGCGGAGATGATGACGAAGAAAGTGGTGCAGAACTCCGTGTAAGCATAGGCGAATTCTCCGTAGGGCCTGGTTGTGACGCAGGGGAGTGTGTTTTGAGCGACATCCTGGCAGTGAAGGTCCAGTATCAGGTTTCCCCAGGGACCCCCGACACACGTTCTCTCAGCCTCATCGTCAAGTTGTTGCCGCATGACCCTTTTAGCAGATACTTCGTCACCGAGGCGCAGTTTGATCTCCGTGAGATCAAGTTTTACACTCAGGTGAGCAAGTGCTGGAAACCTACTCTCAAAAGAGTAGGCGTTCCGATCTGTTAATATTATTGTATTTTTGCCTCATTTGCACCCTCTGAGTTTCACAAATGTGTAACATATAGCAGTCTAGTTAGGCTACTGTATTTTTTTTATTGCTAGTGGGGTGGGACTAAGTCCCTTGTACTGCGGCCACTTCTGGCCTATTGTACCAGCCCCAGATGATAGGTGAGGGTGACTGTGCAGCAATTGGTGGAAAGAAGATTGGCAGGGGAAACCGAAGTACTCGGAAAAAACCTGCCCCAGTGCTACTTTGTTCACCATAAATCCCGGGCCGCCGCGGTGGGAAGCCAGCGACTAACCGCTTGAGCTATGGCGCGGCCTAGGCTACTGTAAGTAAACAGGGGAAAGGTTATATGTGCAAAATGTTCAGTCTCTCCCAATAACAGACGTGAATTGTATTATGAATGAAGGTGAAAAAATACGCTTTACAAAAACAGTTTAATTTTCGTCATAAATGAGCAGTAACGGGCAAAGCTCGATGACAATAAAGAACTGAACATGTCGTTAAGAGTATAACAGCACAGATTTTATTTAAAAAATATGTGATTCAGTGAGAGTTCTTCCGGTGACACAACATAACCATTCAAATTTAATGAAATCAAGGATTTCGTTTAACAAAAGACTGTCTGTATCGGGGAGCCCAATAATGAGCTTGAAAGGGAAACATATTGTGACGGTAAATGCGCACCATGCAGCTTTGTCATAATGCAGTACTAACATGAGATCCAAGCTAAGCTGGCAACACTGAAAAGGGGGGGGGGAGAATTTCTTTGTGAAATGTACAAAAAATGAGTGTGTTTTTAATGCTGAGTTCGAAATGACCCCAAAAGCTGTCTATCAGCCCATATTTTGAGTGAATCGAAATCAAATAAACATTCGTATAATAGTAGACGAGAACAGTGAACACACACTTATGATTTACGCGTGTATTTCATTTCTGGGGGGATCCCTTTACCAACGACGAGCAGTGGTCAACCAACATGCTCAGGCCCCATTAATCCTATTCTAGGTCTTCTGCATCGAGGTTGTTTCTTGATGGGAGTATTTTCCCTGCTCATCACTAACAGAGCCCATGTTTGCTGGCAAAAGGTGCTGACGCGAGCCGCGCAAACACGTTTTAGTGACATTTCGCATCCTATGCCTTTGTTGGAACTGCGAACTTCTTCAACAAGTGACTCATAATTTTCTGTCTATATTTGGTAGAAGTCATTATAGCAAATACATTATCTATGTTGGAGTAATATGCCCAACAGCGCATAAAATTTTTAACTAATAAATAATTACGAATCCAAACATGTCTCAGCCTCAGACAGCCACCTTCAGGAGCGTCCAATGCTGACAGACAACTTCATACAAGGTTACATGAATCATTAATTTTTTTACATGAGTCATTTCAAACAGATCTGATCATAAAACATTAACATTACTGTGAATGTTTTAAGATAAGAGCTATTTCCAATAATTCATGTAAAATCATGCAAAATTTTCTTTTCACATCGGCCATCCCTTAGAGATGACCGTCTGAGGCTGAAACATGTCGTGTATTATTATTTATTAATCAAAAAATGGACAAACTTGATGGTATTCTTGTACTCATTTCTGTCTGCAAGTTCACGACATTTTTTTGCTACTGCTTTTAACGCTCTCAAAGCTAAACTCTCACCTTCATTTAACGTTACATCCAATGCCATGTCCTCATAACACCTCTAATTTTCGGAGCAACAAATATCCTTACTTTATTTTCGACCTCACTGATGATAATATCTGAAGTACAGACACCCACTGTCACTTGAATTCACAGCCTCAACAAGATTTTTCATTAAACCAAGTTTAATAAGCTGTAATTAGTAGTATACGTAATGCTAGCATGAAAGCTTTTTTTCTGAGTTAAAAAGAGGTTGACTGGTGAGATTTGTTTTCCATGCAATCAGTGCATGTCAAAGTGGCAATCGTTTCTCAGGACAATGGATTTCCCATGTTCGACTGTCCCATTCAGAAAAGAGACAACACATTTCATACAGTGCGGCCGTAAAGCTGGTAGAAGTGTGATTACTTTGAACTCTGCACGGATATGCCACGAATACTTATTATTTTGGATATGTTTCACAAGAAAGTGAGCATTGTCACATGATTCCTTTACACGAACGGCATGTACTATTAGAAATTAAGGGTATTTAATCCCATTATGAACCAATACACTTTTGAAACTCAGCTTCAAGGAATAAATAGGCTCCACTTGTTTCGATCACGTTTCTAAATGAAGACTTCCATGAAAGAGTCCCCAGCTTACTACAGCAAACTAAATTGCTTCTAGAACAGACAGATACATATCTTTCTTAGAAGATTCCAACCTTTCAATCTAGAAGACCAAGCTCAGATTATTTTCTTTCTCTTTCTTCTGACAAAGTCAGATCATGGACAAGTTCACTCAGGTCTGCCTGAGATATTAATTAAGGGTCTGTCGATGAACAAGATGGTTCTAACAGCGGATCAACATGGTACTGATTTTCTGTCAATAATCCATGACGCACAGCTTTCATTTCAACTATTTACCTCCATATTTCGGGAGCTGGGATAGCGCAGTCGGTATACAGAACGGCTATGGGCTCGACGGCCGATGGGTCTGAGTTCGATTCCCGGTAGGGACAAGTTTTTTCTCATCTCTACGCACTAACGTGGATGCGAACAGTGCTCAGTTCCACTACAATTCCAGTCTTTCACACATATAACTAGAAATCAATGCAATTAATCAGGGGGGCTTTATCAGCTGAAACCGCATTAACTGGTTCGCAATGACGTATTACGACATACAAATAATAAATATGTTTGACAATGTGGTCTAGTGGTCAGAGTTCCTGCCTACAGATCCAGAGGTAACGGGTGCGGTTCCCGGCGCTACCAGATTGTCTGAGAAGGAGTGATTCTACAACGGGGTCCACTTAGCCTCGTGAGGATAACTAAGAAGCTATTTCAAGGTAATAGCGGCTCCGGTCTAGAAAACCGAGATTAACGGCCATGGGGATCCGTTGGGCTAACCACGTGACACCTATCCGTAAAAGTTGACACTAACTTCGCCGATAAGCGACGGTCGCATGGTCGGTATAGTTCGCTTACGGACTACAGGTCCAAGAGTTTCTTTTTGTTTTGACTGTTTTGTGGCAGTACCGCAGCTTAAGACATAACAAAACTCAAATCGCCTATCTTCACGCTCAGGCCGACTTTCTCGCATTCCGGTCGTACAGTCGGTTACTCGATGAGCCAAATGAACATACGGCGACAGAACTGAAGTATCACTGATTTGAAGGCACTTTAGATATAGGTGGAAAGCATCCAGATGTTACCATCCGAGGCAATTCATGTTACGTAGGTTCGTTTACAAACTTAAGGAAAACAATCACTTAATGTTAATCGTATACACTTAAGTTTCGGGACATCCAGCATTACAATGATATATTATATTTTGTAGTCTATGCAGCACGTCTAGTGCGCCTACCACGCCTTTCATTGCACGCTTGCTCGACCTCGTCACTGTTAACTTCCAATATGCCAATTATGAACAATTACTGGAGGGGTCTTCTCTCTTCATCACTCGCGTATAGACCGGTAGCCATTCATAATACCACAATGAAAACAAGGATCCCTTAACATCCGGCATCAATATATTCCCGGTACTTCGCAACTATATATGGGGAGCTAACTTCGAAAGGAACATGGAACATTCAAACCTAACAATGCAGACTCAGGTTTACCCCTTAAGATATACGAACATACAGGGGATGGACAAAAATATGGAAACACCTCGTGAAATGCACGCCTGAATTGAATTGTTTATTTTAGCGACGTCTGTAGGTGACGCTGTCGTATCTGCCCAATGCCACTACCTGTACAACCTCCGCAGTTTTTAGTGCATCATGTCAGAGCTAACAGAATTCGAACGCGGGCAAATTGTTGGGGCCCATATGGTGGGTGCTTCCGTAACCAAAGTAGCCGAGGTTTTTGGTGTTTCGCGAGGCACAGTATCCAAGATTATGACCGCACACAGGAGGACTGGGAAAACCGCATCCGATAAACACCGGCGTTGACGGAAATGTGTGTTGAGTGATCGAGACAGACGAACATTGCGTAGGATTGTGACGAAAAGTAAGAAGACTACATCTGCAAAAGTGACTGCAGAACTGAATGTCACGCTCACAAACCCCGTCAGCACCAAAATAGTATGAAGGGAACTCCACAAGTAGGGTATTTCTGGATGAGCTGCAATTCCAAAGCCACTCATCAGTGATCAAAATGCCAGTAAGAAGAGTGTGTGGTGCCGAAGTCATAAAATCTGGACTATGGAGCAATGGAAGATGGTCATTTGGTCAGATGAGTCCACCTGCACACTGTTTCCGACTTCTGGCCGAGTTTACGTCTGGAGAACGCCATCCCAAGCTTACGATCCAGATTGATTGCTGCCAAGAGCGAAACATGGCTGGGGTTCGATCATGGTATGGGCAGCCATATCGTGGTATTCTGTCGGACCCATCATTACCCTGCAAGGTCACTTCACTGCCAACGACTATGTGACCATTTTGGGCGACCAGATCCATCCCATGGTGCAAACTTTGTTCCCCAATGGTGATGCCATTTACCAAGATGACAATGCCCGTGTTCACACAGCTCACATCGTCCAAGACAGGTTTTCTGAGAACGAAAATGAAGTGTCACGTCTGCCATGGCCCCCACAAACGCCAGATATCAGTATTATTGAGCATTTGTGGTCTGTTTTGGAGAGCAATCTGCGTGCGTGCTATCAACAACCATCATCGATAACAGAACTTAACCACGTTTTTCAGGAAGAATGGTACAAGATTCCCTTGCAAACCATACAGGACCTCTTATTTATCCATTCCAAGGAGACTGCAAGCAGTTCTGCAAGCCAGAGGTTGTCATACACCATATTAGTCACGGTAATGTGTTTTTTGTTGGGTGTTTCCATATTTTTGTCCATCCCCTTTAGTACATCATTACCTACAGACTTCACCATGGAAATAAATTCAGGGCACTCTACATATATATACAGCTACTGTTTTAGTACCAAGATAAGGCACGAGCCAACTGTGGGTGCAATGACATTTTAAAGACTGCGTTCAGCTCCTTTTCGATTTTCTGGTTGTGAGACAAGTTACTTAGAAAAACGGCAAGTTCTGTCCATCAATGAAGAACTTCAAGATTAATAAAGGTCAGTTAGTAGTGTCACTGTAGTAAAATCAAAACGGTTATGATGGTATTGTGACATGCAGACCCACTGCTAGGCAACGACCGCGAAATAAGCTACTATACAACAGCTGTTGCTAAGCAATGGCCCTGCAAACAAGCATGTTTCCATGGCAACAACTGCGCTGCAACAGAGGAACGCTGTTTTATACGCGGTACGTGACGAGATGCTATGAGCAGAGCCATTTAGCTGCTGCAGTCTGTTCAGTTGGTTGCGCGTTAGTGAGCTACAGAACTGCTGTGGTTCAGTCGTTGTGAGCTGTTGCTATTAGAAGCTGGTAGTTGAGGCCGGAGAAAGTTCGGGAACCCAGAGGAAGGGGCACGTCCGCCGTTGAAAGCCGCTACCAAGCAACGGCAGGGAAGACGTGACTATGGACAGTAGTAACAGTGAACTGTAGAGCGTAGTCACGCATTGTATCAGAGTCAAATAAATCCGGCCATCAATCCAAAACCCGTCTAGTCACTGAAATCACGTGGCAACTGGTGTTAAAAGTGAGGTTCGAACAGAAGCCCACACAAGTCACGTGACAGTAGGATGGAATGGATATGCTGTTCGGATAGAAAGGCGAAAAGTACGCGCAGAATCCTGGTGAGAAAACCTATCGGTAATTGACGAAGTGGAAGACGAAGTAGAAGGGACGGTAATATTAAAATTGATCGTACAGAAATAACACAATGTATGAAATGATCTTAACTGGCTCAGGATCGTGTCCAAGAGCAGATTTCAGCATAACAGACGACGACTCTTCGGACCGTGTTACCAGAGAGTTATTAAATATAAGAGCTGTCAGACTAATTCAAGTTCACCGTTTCTTCTATGGATTTTCTAAAGGATATTATTTGATTAATTTACGGAATTTAAAAAATACAGCGGTTTCTCTAAGAATAAACGTGAATTACTAACTTTCTCATATTGCAGAGATATATGTTACTGAATAGCAGTATTCTGTGTACAATGGCCGATAAATTGCTGATGCATTCTAAACATTTTGTTGCAAGGTGGTACCGGAGTTGGAGCAGTTCCAAAGACGCTGTCTTCCCGCAGACACACCGCCTCTGGAGATACCTATCCCGCGCTGTTACCACGCTCGCTACACCCAGGGAAAGGACAGTCCCGACTCTAGTCCTACGCCAACTGAGTCTGTTCTAGTGCTGGAGAACCTTAAGTCGAGAGGCTTCCAGGGAGCAGATTTCTCGCGAGGTCTCACTCTGAGACAAGCAGAATCAGCGCTTGAGGCTGTAGCACGTCTACACGCATTGTCACTGGCGCTGAAGGTACCATCACAAAGCATACAGTATAATACCAAAGCGAGAACGCAAAGTATTATACATTCCTTATAATATAAAAAAGGTAAGCTATCCCTGTAACATGCTGTGAAGGCCCACAGCGGTGTGAGAGGTCGAGGCTCCCACATTTTCTACACAGTCGGGTCACAGATGGCGGTGAGGTTGTCAGCTCTATGCACCGGCCATCCTTTACCTTCAGGAAGATTCCTGGTACTCATTTCAGTTGGAAACTGAGTCGACCCCAGTGCCATTGTGCGGCTGGAAGGATTAGGTTAATTGAAAAATTAAATGAAAAAATGACCTCATCCAGAATCGAACCCGCGACCTTCCGGCTTGTGGTATGTGGTACTGTAGTTGGTTGAGGCACTATGCTACAAGCCGGAAGGTCGTGGGTTCGAATTCCAATTAGATCACTGGATTTTTCAATTGACCTAATATTTCCAGCCGCACTATGGCCCTGGGGTCGACTAAACCTCTAAGAAATGAATACCAGGAATCTTCCTGGGGGAGGGGGGTAAAGGGCTCCTGGCGCGTAAGGTTGACAACCTCACCACCATCTGTGAGCCGACTGTCTAGAAAATGTGGCATCCTCGACGTCTCACAACCCCATGAGCCTTCATGGGCTGTTAAAGGGATAGAGCTTTATCTTCGATATAAACGTTAAATATTACCAAACCATTTGATGATCGTGAATGAATTCTCCTTATAGTCTGTTGCCTGTCGCGTCAATTAGCAACACTTTCTCTGCAAATATGATGTAAAGCTATCCTGATATTTATTTATTCTTTCATATTTTCAGGTGAAAGAGGGCCGCCCTCTAGCAGAGAGGTATCCATTCTTGTTCCAAACAGCGAAAGCCACGGATTCCTATCAGCAACTAGTCGAGCGTGGACTGCCTCAGCTAGCACGCTTCCTTGAGAAACGCCCGGGCTTAGAAGATATCCTGGAATGTCTTCTTACACTGCGTCCCAAAACGAAGGAACTCATAGCCGCGCTCTTAGCTCCAGAAGAACCGTTGGCGCTAATAACACATACGGATTTCTGGTGCAATAATCTTCTCTTTCGCGACGATGACTTGTGCTCGTGTGCTGTGCTGGACTGGCAGATGGTTACATACAGTCGTCCAACGAATGACGTGGCTCTTTTGCTGATAAGTTCCCTGCCCACCGAGCTCCGACGTCGCCACACTACCAGTCTTCTCGACGGCTACTGGGCGGCACTGACTGATTCTGCTGTGAGGCTTGGGGTGGATGTGGAGGGAGACCTGGGTCATAGTAGGGTCGCTCTAGGAGAGGATTATCGACGCTCACAACTTCTAGCTCTTCTTCTGTGCATCGGTTCTGTGGACGTGGCTCTAGGAGATCCTCTTACCGAGCAGCGGCTCTTGGACGTGCTGCAGGACTTGCATAAAGATGGAGTTCTTTCTTATGATATAATTAAGACTGCTGCTCAAGGAAAACTCTGAAAGGCTTTCACTGGATGCCAAATTTAGAACGTCATGCTTAGTTTTTATCTTGACTGACACCATATAGACAGTGGGTGCATAAATACGACCACAGTGCGAAATCTGACCAAAGCACATCGGAAAGTTGCTCACAGAGTACTGCGAACTCATGATATATGCAATGCACGTAAAACTAATTGCTCATCTGTAAAAGGACGTTGTCTTCTTCGGTTAACTGTTTCTGAAACGACGAAAGCTTTCGTTAAGAAGGTTAAGTCTTGTTCAATGCCCGTTCAGTAACTGCAGCTTAAGAATAAGAGTTACGAATTCATCCTATGAAAACTGCACAATTTAATACAGTATGGACTCAATTATGTAGAGGCCATGGAAATAAGTTGAATCAACTTCAATCTAAAACATACGTACATAGAAGGGACTCATTTCCCGAAATATTAGTTCATCATGAGTTAATATCAAAATAATAAAAAAAGAGCGTTGCTCCTCTCCAAACATCAGTTGCTTAGAAGATTAATTATCCTACAAGGCCAAAGTTACTCACTTCCATATGCACAGACATACACACACACAACCTATCTTCTCTTCCCACCCTTGAAAAGTATGACGTTCGCTTACTGTTTACGAGTAGCAACGCCAAGGTAATCATACTACTGTAAACATTAAGAGCAGAAATGGATTTCTGATGAATATTATTATTATTTATGAAGAAGGAACATTGACCTAATATTGACGACATACATTTACTGCATCTGTTACGATAAAAACTAAGATCGTATTTGCAGCTTTAATAAGAAAAATGCATTGCTACAGCCGGCAGCTGCAGTTAATACCTTCGTAAGTATAAGGGCAGCACCAAACTCTACAAACATAGGAATACTTCACATTTTCAACAATATGAATATGCCAAGCAATAAACTGACTTATTTTCGGAATTTCCTACACCTGATACACAGCAAACACAATACCCTGGGGACAAGCCGTATCCACATGCCCTTCTGCCTTCGATCCCTGTCAGTAGCTTTCTCCATTAACGAATCTTGTGTAATGTTTCTATTAAAAACATTAATACATAATACTATGCGGCCATTTGCATATGAGGGCCTAAACTGAAATATGTTTTTGGCATTAAAATTCACCAACACCAACATATTACCGTAAAAGATACACAGTTTCATGTTATGCAAATTCTGGTTGAAAGTGATTTAGCAAATATATCAAACTAAAAGACAGAGAAAGAGAAATAGCACAGAAACTGACACATACTTCTCTGGGATTTATATTTTATTCAAGGATCACTATGACAGCAGAACAGATGCATAAAAATAAAACTGTGCGAAATGGTGAATAATTTTGGTATTATAAAAGAATGATTCAGTATTATCAAGTAAGCGGCAATAAAATGCTGCAGAATTTGAACAATCTTCATTGGAATGCACTTAAGTATCAGTCACTGCATTTGCATTTAGAACGTCAAGGTTCAGATCTAACCCAAACACTAGTGGAAAGTGCAACCCAGAAATCTCTACCAAAAACAATCTCACTGTTTTAGCAGTAGAATTTCAAAATAAAAGCATTTTACAATGATGCAAGCTATGAAACTTCTCCCGCTAATTCATTGGGGATTTATTGCACACACTTCCACACTCACTGATGCTCATTCCCTTACTTTGTTACTCATTTACGGGTTAATTAATAACGCTGTCAGTGCTTCTAACTATACAGTGTCGAATGTACGGAGATCAATGAATGAACTGGAAAGAATGTGGAATGAAGTGATTACTGCTTATGAAGAAAGTCGTCTTCTGGGTTTAGGCGCCGTGTATTCTTCGTTTTGGCCGACGTTTCGGAGGAACGTATCGCCTCCATCTTCAGAGCAGTTGAATGGCTTGGAATGCAGAGAGCAGTAGCTACGTCGGCCAATACATGGCGCCTAAACCCAGAAGACGACTTTCTTCATACTCATCGCCGGGAAAACCTCAAAACTTACATGATTATTGCTTAATTTGAAATTCCATCTTGACATCGGCCTGGATGGACTGAGGAAAACCACAAAAGAGCTGTCAGCATAGCCGATTTCAAGACTCAGATTCAGTTTCACGACCTCACGAATAAGGAGGAGTGCTATCCACTAGGCTCTGAGCTTCGGTCTCATTCCACTACATTCTCCATTACTCACAAATGGGACGTTAAATAATCGGTGTGATACACAATGTTGTCGAACAGTTTAATGGCGTATTATAAACACACACACTTTCCCGCGAAGAGATGAACGTAACCGAGTGTGGATCGTGTAATCAAATCCAATAACATGTAACAGTTTCCTTACGTTCGGAAAACGAATACTTGCACGAATTAACTTGAACTCAGAATCAGCGATTTCCTAAAATTCATTTTCAAGTTTTGGGGGCACGCGGTAGCATAGCTGATTGAGGAAATATGCTACAAGCTGGAAGGTCGCGGGGTGTACTCCCGATGAGGTCACTGGGTCATTGGACTTTTAAATTGACCTAATCCTTCCAGCTGCAATGTGGCAATATGGTCGACTCAGCGTCTAACAAAAACGTGTACCAGAAACTTTCCTGGGGGTAAAGGGCGGTCGGCGGGTAAGACTGAAAACCTCACCGCCTCCTGTGAGCCGACTGTCTATAAAATGTGGGAACCTCGACGTCTCATAACCATATAGGTCTTCACGGCCTGTTACAGGGATAACTTTATTTTCAAGTTTACGCACCGATATTCTTTAAACACTTCAAGCTACAACTATAGAGAAAAGGGCCAAAAAACATATGTAACTGAAATTTTTAGGCGATGGGAGTAAACCGCTACAGAAAATGCTCGTCTTCCAGATGGAGACATTATGATGGGTGACAATCCTGCTCGTACAAGGAAACATGACAAGATCTAACAATACGAGACGCAAACTACTGACAATTCAAAATCGGAAGGCAGGGGAGTGAAATGGATGGGGCATGAAAACCTATAAATATGAGGCAATCTCGAGAAGACGAAAACGACGGAGGCCGAGAAATCGGATTAGCTGTCGATGTCGTTAGGAATTATGGGAAAAGGCTGACCCACTTTTCCGCCGGGACACGAGCTGGTGCTGGATGTGCGTTCGTTCTTTCTCCTACCCATTTTCAGACATGGTACATTGATAACATAAATTTAACTGAAACTATCTGTTTAGAAAATCAGAGCAGACAGGCTCTTAACATTCTGAATCCGAAGCAGAATACGCTGTGGTCCTCTAGACAGAGATGGCTTTCTCGGCATATGGACTTTACTGTGGTACTCAATTTCCGCCAGTCACTCCATATACTTTAATAACAATGCCGCAGACGCTCGCAGTGCATTACAAATAAGTGCATGCTGCATGCTTGTTTTCATGAGGCTAAATTTAGCACGTGACGATCATAATCTCGACGATAACATGTCGCACGAACGAAATGTACATTTCGAATATGTTCGGCTCAATGGAACCTCAGCGTCTGTATTATGTCTTGTCAACATTTGACAACATAAATATTTAAATATGCATTTTCATATCCACGCGAAGTTTCGCTTCGTCGAAATATTTCAGTGAGGATTCTCAGTGTTTAGCACCCGTTCAGTCCTGTGGCCTTATTACACGTGGACAAACGGACACACGTCGTGAAAGTAATGGACATTCATGTATGTATTACTGAGAAATGCTGATAATGCTATGTAAATTCTTTCACTGCAGTAACATACTAGATTCTCGACAAAATTCTAACTCTAAGTCGTGTCAATGATTAAATGTGAAAATTAAAAACCAAAGTATGTGTGAAGAATGCCGTCTTCTGGGATGTGGCGCCGTATAAATATTGTCTAAACTGACGTTCCTCCGAAACGTCGGTTTAAACATTACACGGCGCCATGTCCTAGAAGACGGCATCCTTCATAGTCACCGCTGTGAAAACCTTAAATTTGACATAAATTATGTGCGGTCTTCTGCCCGACTACACGGCATTACATCCCAGAAGATAAAAAGGCGCGTCCTACACCATGTGCGAGCTGCCACTTAAGTTCCCACTATGAGAATAACGGCCCATGGATCCCCACTCTACGCCATGCTGACGGATATAGAAAGTCGACAGGGGCCTGCACCGCTTCAGGGGGATTTACGGTTGATTACATCGCAGCTCCCTGTCGGTGGTAACACGTTAGAACGGAATGGGCAAACCACTGTCATAAGGCCGTCGGAGTGTCTATGCCATCTAGGCCTGGAACGGGGCATTACGTGAGTCCGGACTCCGCACCTAGACTTGCATACAGGAGGAGTAAGAAGGATCCACTCAACCTTTGTCTCTAGAGTTCACCGCAGGGGCACAAAAGTTCAGTGGCGCTGAAACCGTGGGCCAGAACCATTGATAGGAAAGAACCCTTCTGGCGAGGCATTAGTTTATAATGTATGGGGCCTCAAATGCTAAGCCGTACATAACCCTAGAAGCGGAAGTGCATGATGAACTGCTGTTTGGAACACAGACGGGGCAGACCCACGATAAAGGTGATATAGTGAATGTGGGGGTGAGGTGGTAGGTGTTCAGAATCCAAAGGAGGGCACTGTGGGAGGGGAAAGATATTATAAAATGGTACAGATGAGGCAAGAAAATGGCAGAAAGTAAAAATAAAGGAACACACAACAGCCCCTTTTGAATATGGACCGGCTTACCTCGACGAGTAATTCCATGAATTTTTAACGTCCAATCGCCCTGCATGAATGTCTGTGTATATATGTATTTATATGTACGCACGTATTTATTAATAAATTACATTGTATAGAATGACCACTCTTTTATATTTTAAAGCCCAACTTATGTTGGTGCAGGCCGCGCCATAGCTAAAGCGGTTAGTCGCTGGCTTCCCACCGCGGCGGCCTGGGTTCGATCCCGGGTCTGCTCAAGTGGAATTTGTGGTGGACAAAATGGCGCTGGGCGGGTTTTCTCCGAGCACTTCGGTTTCCCCTGCCAATCTTCATTCCACCAAATTCTCTATCATCATAATCACCCGGGGCAGGCTACAATAGGCCAATCAGTGGCCGCCGTGCCGAGTGGACTCAGTCGGACTCCACCCCATACTAAGCGAGGAAAAAAAATACGCTGGTGTACGATTAAAATCACTTTAACGCATGCGAATCGTTGGCTAAGGTTTTTTTTATACTGACTGTACCTTCGTACTTGAGTCGAGTAAAGTATGAAATATGAAATTGTAGATATTAAACTGAACGGTATAACAAAATTACTTTATTAATTAATTAGCTGATTATGGTATTCTTTATGCTATTAAACCAGAATTTACTTGGAGTGTTCAAGAAAACTTCTGAACTATGCTTCCTGATATAACTAAGGGCAGTCATAAAGAGTACAGCAAGCATAATAATTGTAAAACATCAGCACGATAATGTTCCTCCAGTGGAATGTTCTCACTGCTGCAAATCGGACACCATAATCCAAATTACACATTCGCTGATTCGATTTTTCTTTCGCTCCACGCCCTGACTAATTCCGGGGTTTACTCAGCCTCCTACTCAATGGCTGCTGAGGGGCTCCCCCCTCGAAGCAAAGCCACCGAAACCCTAAAACTGATCATCCGCCTCCATCCGGTGTCGATGTTAAGAGAGCATGGAACTACGCGGTGCTTAAGCATTGGAGCAAACGTTGTCTTCACCTTTACACATAAGCCGAAGCAAAACTTGTGTCCAAGAGAGCCCATTCATTCCACTGGTGAGTTACAGGTATCTGGATTGTTTCCTATTCAGTGACCCAAGCTCGATTCCCTTTTGTACCTCATTTTTCCTTTCGCGCGCTGCTGAATTTACCGTCACTCATTTCAAACTGCAAGTCAGACGGTCTAACGGGGGAAATTAAATCCCTCTTCATTTCAGATACGTTCTGGAGTATCGAAAATAGATTATGACCGCTCATTATTTAGAAAGCCAACCACAGCCACACAAATAACTGTCACGTACGTAAGTATAAATCCACATTCTCTTGACCTCTGCACTAGCTGTTGGTGAGTGGTCAGCTTTAAGCCCCGGCCGCTTTATCCCCGGGGAAAGACCCACAGTACCCATTGGATAGGAGGCTGGGGTGGGGCCCAGAGCCGGTGTGGACGACATGGAGAAGAGAACATTCTTGACCCTACCGTGGCTCGAAATCCGACTCCTAGGTCGACCAGTCCGCAGCCAGTCGCTATACCGACTCCTATATATACGGATAGTAGGCCATATTTAACAATTCTGTAATTAAGGCAGTAGGTCTTTGTGCTGCTCTAAAGTTAGCAATCAATAAATAACACATTTTTCGAAGTTGTGCAAGGTTGTTGAGGTAGGACCATCAAGTTGTTCACCTATCTCTGCGCACAGAATGAGAGGGTGAGCGTATGACGGATCAATACAGCACAGCTAGGCTGCCAGCGAGGAGCAAGATAGATCGAGAAAG